TCCACCGTCCAGTACAAAATACTTCGGTGTTGTTCTTCAGACGGAGTTGCGAAGTACGAAGCAGGACAACTCGATGGGTGATTCTAAGTCCTTCGGATGAAATATCAATTCTTCCCTTAGTCCATCAAGTCGTTGACGGTGACTTGCGGGCTACATAGTACACATGAAGTAGAGTGATGGCGAGGGTTAAAGATTGACGGGGTTGATACGTATCTTCGTACATGCCCTATTACTGTATTATTACTGTCGTTAGGGACCTGGTGATCCCTCCTGTCTCATCCGTCCAATCCTCCGATTTGCAGCGCGCATGAACTACACGCTGGACGGCATGGATGCAGCATGGAGGTGGGCAGCTTAGCAGGGCATCGAATACTTGATACCGCCGAGAATGGCAACGCAGAGGCAGCAGAACAATAGCTCCTTTGTCGGCGGATGTCTCAAGACAGCAGCTCTAATCCTCAGCCGTCGGGGACTAGCCAAGACCAAGACAGTCCACGAAGACTGCCACTATTTTCATGCCCTTGTAGACACGAGGTTCTCACGCTTTAACTTTTGACACTACAGCTACTTAGATTTACTTGTAGCAAGGACACCGAGTCCCTTCGGAGTGCGGTCGCTCACCAAGAGCGCTGCGAAAGAGCTTCCCGAGACCACCGGACTGATCGGATCGAAGACGTCAGCCCTCGTTTAATGGAGCGTCACAGCCCACTCGGCTTCGGATAGAGCAGGAAGCCAAGGATATCAACTTCAAGTTGAGTCTCACGTCAATCCTACTTTGTCCTTTTTTTTTCGAACTTGCTCAAGCCACGGCTGGAATCCTCCCTCATCACAACAATCGGTGCCTTTTCGAGTCTGTTCATCACGAAGCAAAGAAAGAAACCGGTTAGCTCTCCGCTTCCCTGACGCCTCCCACCAAGGCCGAAGACCAAAAAGGGCCCTAGTCCAATCAATAATCGATCTGGCTTAAACCACATCGGGCCTTTCCAATCGCCCATCCATTGATGCTTTTCAAGAACGGACGCCGGAGCGAACCAAGGCCTTTAACTCCGGGCCAGTGTCAGCTTGCGACGTCCTTGACGGATGACAATCTTCATCTTATACTGAGGTATCCTTCAGCCCTCTGCGGGGGAGAGTTGCTGGTTGCATCTTCGTCAGCTTGTTGAGATCATTGACGGCAATGAAAACCCCCTCCTGCGATAATACACTAAGACCTTCGCCCCTGGTCGTTGCCTCTTACAAGTAGGATTTGGCATCTGCTCGTAATAATACCACCAAGAACCGTTGCTTCAATCCCAGACGGATTCACCATCATTAGTTACATCGTCTCTCAGAAAACCAGGATTCGATCAATTGATCCATTTCAACACCTGCTGAAAAGGCTAAGCCCCCCAAGTCCGCTAAGCAGGGTACGAATCGTCAATCAATTTGTTTCTTCAACCCTTCAAACAGAGGCAGCGTTGCAGGTTCCAGCGTTACCCCCGTTACGAATTAAACCTGAGGGGCACGAAGAACGATTCACGATAGTATAATAGACCCGCAGCGCTCCCGGGACCTCAATCGCTTTCCTCAACGCCACCACTCAGGTTTCTTTCATCTCGAGTCTCCGCTCAAGTCTGTCTGTGCCGACAAAATTTTGATTTATTGATTTATTTTCGCTCGGCACCGGCTTGCATCATTCACGTTTGCTCGCCAATTCAAGCTAGCAGAGGGAAAAGAGCCACGAAATTGATCGTGGTCCGTTCGCCATCTTCAGACGTTTAATCGACCTCGCATCGCCTGGGCTAGCCTGGTTCCAGAGCGCCAGATTAACGCCAGACCACACTCCGCTCTCTTCTTCCAGACTTCGTCCCTAGTCCAGTCATTTTTTGCCTCTCTCTCGCCTTGGCCCTTCGGCCTCGCCTTTTTTTGCCCGCTCTTCCCCGGTTATCCGTAACGCCTCAGTCTCTGAGGTACCCCTTAACCTCCGATCTGGATCTCCATACTGGCCAGGGCCCAGGGGTAATAGTACGAAGCTACATCAACGGTTCCATGGTCCCATCTTCATACATATAGAGAATACCACGTCGCTTGTTACGCAGCAGGACCCTTGCATCATCATCCAAAGTCAGACCAGTTCGATTGCAGGTCTTGTCCTGTTCCTGAATGATAAGCGCCCACCAAAAGCCGTCCTGGCAGCTAATACAACACACCACGCATTTCGAAACCCACTCGGAGCGCTTCCGCTGCTTGTTTCGGCCGCGCCATTGGCCAATTCGAACATCCCCTTCATTTCGCGTTGCTCCTTCATGCTTCAAGCTCCAACATTCTGAGTCCGCCTCTGTCGAACTGAACCAGCCAACACCACTCAAAATCCGGGGAATCGCTCCATCTCCCAATAGCTCCTCGACCAAAGCAACAATTGACGTGCACATTGCTCACCCAACGGACAATCAAGGGGGGGAAAAGGGACCCACGAAACCCATCAGCGCGCTTACTCTAACTCGATTGTGATTGTTCTGGCCGCAGGCCGTTGCCAGACGCCTGGTGTCTCTATTTCCGGATCCTGCTTTCTTCGCTCGTGGTTGGATTCGCAGACGTTTCAGCGGTGTCTATTTTCTGCCTCTGAGCTGTCTCTCCCTGCTGCCGCAACGCAACACTGCAGGTGGTGCACCGACATCGAACTCCGACACGAGAGCGCCAGCTCCACCCGTTGTCACCAACAACCCAGTCTCCCATCCATCGATCAATCTATCTGCTCTCTCTGTTGCGTTCAATCCTTTTTCGTCTGAATATAAGGTCGTAGGGAGGACCTCGAGATCCAGACTCGGCGCAACTCTCCCCCCTTGCTTTTTGACGGTCGGTCGGCGACATCCACAGAGAGCAATGGACCCGGGCACAACACTCGTTACCTTTATGCTGTGAGTTTTTCTTCGAATATTTTCACATTTGATCTTTTTCTTTTTCTTCCTGCCACCTTTTCCTGAGCTGTTCCAAGCTATCTTCAACTCGTTGTTTTTTTCTACCTTCCCGGCCATCGTTCGTTTCCTCCCTCCCCCTGCTGGCTGCCTGCACATTGCTTTCTCTACGAGTTGGTCTACCTGCGATCAATTGGTCCGAAACCCTCGCCGCTCTTTGACGCATCGCTGGTTCGATTTATATTCGCATCTACACTGTCGTCTCTCATATCGGCCTTTTTGTTCTTATTCGGATCCTCCGAGATTTGATTTTGGGTCAAGGCTTCTTTCTCTGCCTCAAATTGTCCCCTGTAACATGTATGTCTTCGAACGCCCGCAAAATCCTTCCACGGGAAATACACCACACATACCACACATACCACACATACCCATGTCCTGTTCTGCTCCAGCCTTGCTTCCCACTCAAACATCGAAATGCTTCGTATGCATCTGCCTCCGACAAGTCCGAAAAGAAACAAAGCATTGTTGAGGCAAGTGTCTGCATGCGGTTTTGTTCACTCTCCGCCCCCCGCACCCCCAGGAGAATACTCCCCCAACTCCCCCAACTCCCCAAATTACACTACACCATTGCTTCATGTTCAGTGTCAATGTCCCCCAAATTTCCATTTCATTTCTGCAATGAATGGAAACAATTCCTCGCAGCTTCCGATAGGTTCCCAAATGGAGCAAACCGGAGCGCAGAGAATTAGGGCGAATAAACAACGGCCCACATGGCTCACCCACTGATTATATTGATGCTTTTTTTCTTCTTCTTTTCTCTTGTCCGAGCCGTTCGGATAATGTGCAGTGGGCAGTCCTTGTTCCCTGAGTGGCCTGGTCATTAGATTGCAGCAGCTCTGCATCGACTGTCGTGGCCTCAATGCTGGTATTGCCGTGTCAGACCCGCCCGCCACAATATGGCCTCGTCAGCCTCTCATTCGCTGAAAGTTCTCGTTTGGAGCCTTCCTCTCGCCCTACGCTTTCTTTCACCCTCACTTTTCTTTTTGTTTTGGCTTAATCCAAATGGACACTTTGTTTCGGTTTCCCATTCGGCGGCCCAATCCGTTGGGCTGTCATCTCCGTCAGCATTATTACTATCCACTTCCTTCTGGAACATTGGCGTAGCGATGGCCGAGTTGGGCACACCGTTTCCCAAATGGTCCAAGTCTTGGTTCAGCTTGGTGCTTCGTGAGGTCTTACATGGTCTCATCCTCCGACCCCAAGATTTGGATGGGATTCAGAGCCGAGGAACAGGAACAGACACAGCACGAGGGAAGCCACAATCTCTTGATGCAGCTTCAACTGGCTGGCTGGAGTGTGTACTTTGCACAAGTATCTGCTGCACAAGTGTACATCAGTATTTGATCTCTCGTGTTCACCACCCACACACACACATACTTTGGTGCTTCGGAGTTACGCCAGACCTGGGCCCTACCAAGTCCACATGTACTATTCCTAGCGCTCCCTCCGTCCCTTGCACCATCTGCAATAGTGCCTGCTGGACTGAGGTATTACCGAGAGCCACCCCCCCAATTCCCATTTTCCTACCCCACAACCCACACCCTCGTCTACTCCCACACCCTAAGCCCACCCCCGACTTGCACTCTCACACCACACCCTTCCGCTGGTCTCACACACCCTCTTGAGTCTTCCGCACATGCCACGCCTCGTGTCTATCATCTCGTTCACACTTCCCGAGGATTATATACATATAATATACCCCATTCTTCTTTTCCCTCATCCTCTTCCTATCCAGCAAGCACTCCTGGATTTCATTCAGCCTCTTCCTTCGTGGACCTTTGTCCATAGCCATTCCTTTATAACTTCAATACTTTGCATCGACTGTTATGAACTAACACCACTTCTCTCTCCCTCTTGTTCAGCGAAACGCATCCTTCTGTTCGATCCGTTCGACTTATCGGTTCTTGGGACAACTTCACAACTTCATACCGACTGGAGCGAGACTCGAGACGAGATCGTGGCCAGTGGAAGGGTTGCTATTCCTTTACCGACATTACCTGTGACGACAATACCGGAGTCGGCCCCAGCCGTAACGGCGGTCTCAAAATGGGCAGCACCTACTACTACTACGTGAGTATCTATCCTGGGACATTGACGGAGTCGGCTACTTACAAACAAACATGAGAACTCTATTATACTAACGTTGCTTGGTAGTACGAACTGGACGGCTCTCACGAGACCCACGACCCTACTCGCCCCTCCACCAGGCATTGTCCTTACATGCCCGGACAAACAGTCAACTCATTGTTTGTCCCCATTCAACGAACTCTCCGTAAACGAAGCGCCTCCCTCACCTCAATGAGGAACGCCGACTTTATGACCATGAACCCCAAGGACAAGTTCGTCACTCCTCGTCCCGCTCCTCCGGCCCCCGGCGCCATGGCCGGCCCTCGACTCGGCTCCTCTCCACACACGCTCCGACACCAGTCCTCGGCCCGATCCCTCTCGCCCAACCCCTCGTGGAAGCGATTCTTCAGGAAATCGGCCCGCGACGACCGCGAGACGATGGTGTCTCCCGAACCGGACGACAACCGGAGCGAGAGGTCTTGGGGAAGCGGTAGCCGATCGCGGGACATCTCACCTGAGTCACTCCGCCGGTTCCTTTGCGACGACACCATTCCTACCTCACCCGTCGACGAGAGGCCGGTGATGATGATTCCTGAAGATATTGCCGAGGAGATGGAGGACGACGATAACTTCGCCACACCGGACACCTCGGACGTTCCCTATGCCACCTGCCTAGCTCCACCCCCCTTCAAGCGAACGACATCCTCCCTCTCTATTTCCGTCTTGGCGAACGATACCCCGGAGCCGGTCGCCCAAATGCCCGCCGACGTGGCACTCCCTGAATCCCCCACCATCCCCGACTTCGAATCTACTCTCCGCTCTCGCTTCTCCTTCTCCTCTCTCTCCAGCTATGCCTCTTCGGCCGGCGCTAGTCCCGAGGTCGAGACCCCACCTATCTACGACCTCCTCGATACTCTCGAGTTCGCCACTTCGTCGAACGACGTAGACGAGCCTCTTCACCATCAGTCGCCCGTCCCTAAGCAGTCTCTGGAGCGGCAGTACAGCCTTCCCCAGACTGCCGTAGGTACCAAGGCCGGTGTCGAGGCGAGCAGTGCGCTTATCTCTTCTCCCATCGATGTCGGTATGGACGACCTCGTTGCCGAGCTTGGCTGGATGGCCAACGTGATTGGCAAGAACTAAACCTCATTATATCTTTCTCATTTTCCTACCATCACTGAAATACTTCTATTTACACCACTCCTTCTTTTTGCTGGCGAAAGAAAAATAATTCGGGATTATCATAGACTGGGACACGCAGCGACATGCTTCTTATTTTTGGACAAAAATGTAACCATTTTGTTAGAGACTTGGATTTCCTTAATTTTCCTTTTACCTTTCCTTTCTCAACACAACCACCCTTCCCTCTTGTATCTCTGGCGAATTTGGGGGGTGGAGGGTGGAAAACAAGCGGGCATATTGGGTGGTGTATGGCGGCAAATGGTGCTTTTTTCGGTATTTGTCTTTTTTTACGGAGGCGTAAAGGAAATAGGCAGAGCTTTCTCCCCCTTTTTATCTGGATGGGTGACTCGGATGGCTTCGATCTTTTTTTGGTGTTTGATACATAGTGAAGGGGACACTCGAGAACAGAACAAAAGTCTCGGAGAGCGGGAGAGCTTGCCGCGAGGTTGAAGAATATACCCATCACAACAAGATTGAACAACGAACTTGTGCCAACCCGTTTTTTTTTATTGGATTTTGAACATGTCCGTGAAGACGTGCAACACATCACCGATGTGATGAAACGAATCAATCTTAAAGTTAAATTTTCGTGTGTTCAGATAAGAATACTCCGCGGGTGTAAGTCGTTCCCAGGCACAAGAAGTTACCTCGTCACACCGACGCAACAGGGATGTATCCCCCGAAAGCTATGGAACGCAAGCCATTTATCTGCCACGACTTACTTAGAGCGGTTTGACAAGATACACTGTTTTGGCGAGGTTTAGTTATTTGAAGCCGTGTGTTTGGAAAGCAACGAGGAATCGTTGAAAGAGTGGCTGGGAGGACGCGTCGCGGTCGCGTTCATTAGTTGAGCCGATATAGTCTTTAAGAAAGGGAACGGAATCATATATAGAGCCTGAGGTATTATATGCTATATCCTTGCCCAGGATCATCGAGAATTAGGGATGGAGAACAAAAGAAGGAAAGGGAAGAATATTATTCTCTAAGAATTTCAGTACGTCGGAATCAACCTCATTGTCCTCTCTCCGAAATCATCGATGCCAGTGTCTGGTATCTGAAAATCATACGAGATCCAGAATGAATATCGTTCCAACCGTCCCATCGTACGTTTCTCCATCCCCTCTCTCTGAGGAAAAATGAAAAAAAAAATTCCCCGGTTGGGGGAAGATAAAAACCTCACGATGTTAGGCGTTGTTTCAAACAAAATGCTGGACCCAGCTTTCTGAGCTATATAGCCCCGGGTATTTAAGGACATACAGCAAATAATAGAAAGGGAGGGGGCGCACCGTTCTCAAAATGGCTCAATTAACAGCAGATTGAGGTGGAAGAGGGGAAGAATTGGTGGGTGAGTTAATATAGGAAACATATCACAGTTGTCCTCTTTTCTTCTCACCCATCCGCTCGGATGGCACGAGATGTTTTCGCTTCGAAGAGAAAAAAAATCAAGCTAAATGCAGGAACCCGTGCCGTGGATGGGACGTGTTGGGAGCATTGCTATATTTATTTTCTTTCGCTCAGTCCTCTCTATTGGTATATGATCGCGTTGACGTTTAATATCTGGGCCGGGTCACATCTCATTCCCCCTCTCTCTATCTCTTGATTCGGGGGCAAAAAAAACACATTGTTTTGCTTTTCCACTGTTGCCCGGACCCCCAACCTGGGCCAATGCCGCTATTTTTGACATATTAATCGTACATTAGTGGGTATAAGATACATGAATAGGGCGGGGGCTCTTAAGAAGATCCCGATTCATTAGGTGTTGGAGTGGACGTTGGTGCTACTGTCGGAATTGGCGTTGTTCCGGTTAGGGTAGGAGTAGACGTGGTGGTGGTGGTGGCAGCCGGAGCTACTTTGGCTTCCGGTTGAGACGGAGGGATACTTGGGCTGGTGGTAGAGGATTTGGGGTTTGGCTCTTGATTTGGCTGCTCTTGTCCTTGCTGAACGACTGGCGGCTGTTCTCGCTGTTTTGGTTGGACAGGCAGCGTCGTCTGTTGTGCCGGCTGTTGCACCGGTTGCTGCGTGGATAGAGCAGGTGTCGCCGGCAGGGCAGGTGCCGCTTGTGTTTTGGGAGGGGGCGGAACAGGAGTAGGAGTACCTTGAATAGGTTGCTGTAGCTGCTGCGAGGATGGCTGTGCGGCTGGTTTCTGTGCAGGTTGGACATTGGGCAGCTGCGCCGGTTGCGCCGGCTGCGTTGGCCTCGGGGGCTGCGCCGATGGAGGCTGTGGTTATTGTACTTGTGGCTGTTGGGCCCGAGGTGGTACGGAGGTCTGTTCCTTCTGCGGTAGTTGCCCTTGCTTTTTCTGTGCCGGCCGAGCTTGTCCCTGACCCTGGGACTTCTCGGTCGACTCGCTCGTTTGCCCATCAACCTTGGCCTTCTCTTCAGGTCCAGGGGCTGGAGCAGCTGGAGGCGGCGGCGGAGGAGGAGGAGGAGCAGGAGCATCGGGGTCCAAAAACCTTGCCGGTACGCCCTTGGCCGCGTACTTCCCGCTACCCACCCAGCACCCAAGCAGCGCGCTCCACCGGTAGTCACCGTGCAGCAGCCGCTGAATCTCGCGATACGCGTAGGCATTGAAGTACGGCAGCCCTGTTTTCGGATCACGATATCGGGCCGGATGGTTGGTAATCACGCATAATGGATGCGCTGCTGGCTCTATTTGGGAAGGACATTTGTTAGTTTTATCTGAAATCAACAGTGGCTTCGTAGTATCGGAGATGCAAGCGATAAAAGAGAGCCCAATAAAAAAAAAAAAAAAAAAAAAGAATATATATAAACGTACTTTGCAATCTACTCATCTTCCTACCAAACAGAATTTGTGTCTGGACGACCTTGTCCTTAATAATTGATTCATCAAAGTTCTGTAGGATGATGGCGTTACGGGTGGCGACGTTGGCGCTGCCGTTCTGGCCCTCGGCCGGTTTCTCGGACGAATCTTCAGCATCAACCGCGGGCTTGCTAGATTCTTTGTCCGTACTACTATTCTGGGGCTGGGTTGGCTGTTGGTTTGAGCTTGGGTTAGATTTCGTGAGGGAAGGTGTTGGTGGGACGACTCCAGCGGTTGGACGTTTTGGCGGAGCTTGCAAGGGAAAGTTCGTTGGGGCGGATAGACCCGTGGGCGCAGCAGATGAGGCTAACTTAGGTGTGGAAGGGGGTAGAGATAAGAGTGACGGCCTTTGGGTTGTATTGGGAGGAGCGAGAACATTAAGTTTCGGACTTGGAGGGTTCGAGTATGCGCCAGGGCTGCTCAGCATTGTTGGTGACAAGCCCGCAGGAGGAGCCAGGACAGGCGCAGCTAACACGCTCGGCGATGGTAGACTGGCAGATGTTCGAGGCGTCTCAATAGCCGGCAGTGCCATTACGGGCCGCGGCTTGGAACCTTCTATAGGTACCAGCTTAGCTTCGGTGAGGGGAAGCGCGCTCATGGAGGGCGGCGCCATCAGCGACGACGTTTGGGTGCTCGGTTGGACTGGACTCGGTTCTTTAGCTGGCGCTCCGGAAGGAGCAGCAGCAGTTGCTTGCGGTGGTTTTGCTGGTGGAGCGAGGGAGGAAGAGGTGCCGACCGGCGGCTCAGGTAATGCCGCGTTATCTTTCGACTCAGCCTCTGGCTTCACTGCCGTCTTGGCCGGTTCGGCTGCTTTTGGAGTAGTTACTCCTGAGGTAGACCCGGCCTGTGGTCCCGCTGCACCAAGGGCTGTGGGCGCGGTGGCGGACACCGGGGTCGGAGGTGCTGTAGACATCGCCGTATCCCGGTCTTTATCTTTCAGTTTTCCCTTCTCCTTAGCTTTCTCCTTCTCCTTCTCCTTCTCCTTCTCTGCTGCTGTGAGACGCTTCTTGCGGGGCTTCTCTTCAACTTCAATGTGATAGATACCGCCCTGTTTCAGCCTATCGTCATTCCACTCCCTGCGCCCACTCCAAAATGTAATGACCGGACCCTTGAGCGTACGGCTATTCAGGGCGGCAAGCTTGGCCTTCCGTTCCTCCTCTCGCTGCTTCTCGGCCTCTTCCCACCTGTTCAAGCTCTTAGCGTTCCTTTTCTCGACGACGGCGGCTTCGGCGAGTCGTTCCTCCTGCGTCATAGGTGGCTTCTTCATCGCCTCCAGTTTCTTCTGCTTCTTTTCCATTATGGCGAGTTGTTTCAGCCTCCTCGCCTCACGCTCCTTCATCTGCTGATGCAGCTGCTCCTTGCTCATCCGCGTCGTCTGCCTCTCCGAAGCTCTCGTGGGCGCATCGGCAGGGGACGGAAGCCAACTCTGACGCTCGGATTTCTTCTTCGGTCGGGGAGCCGGCGCCGGTGCGGCCACGGGTCCAATCGGTTGCACTCGAACCTTTTTTCGAAACTTGGCAGGGATGGCTTCCTGGGCCTTGCGCTTCCGCGCGGCGATGCGCTTTTCTCGTGCTTGCCTCTCGAGCTCCTTTTCCCCCTCCAAGTCGTCACCGGCGTTCTGTTCGTCTTCGTCGTCGGATGACGAATCCATCTGCACATCGGACGCATCGTCTCCGACGTCTTCGAAACCGGCGTCATTCTCATCTTCGGCGAAGAGCAGTTCGAGATCGGAATCGGGTTCCTCGTTGGCGAGCATCGACTTCATCCGATTACCGGCCGTCGATCGCTTCGCACGCCCCGTGGCGAGCCACTCGATCTTGGGGCTGCCGCTGCCGCCATCATTGCTGCCGGCGGAGCTGTCGCTGTCTGAGCTGCTATCGTCGGATAGGGGTGAGGTTTCATCGCAGTCGGCGCGCCTTGGTTGTTGCTCGTCTTCGGCAGACATTATGGGTGATGGACGCTATCACAGGGTGGCCACATCGTCTCCAAAAACTGGGGAATGGAGTTTGCAGGTTGACATTAATGGAGGGAGAGTCACTAAAGCCTTGTCCAGCACGCGACCTGAACAAAAAATCCCAAGGATGGCAATGTTGGAATTTCTTGACCTGATGACTAAGCGCAAGGAACATGTCTTAACCCGATTCCGAACCTAACCCTAGAGTTTCTGGGAAAAACTCGAGTTTATTAGGTCAGAAGAAAGTTGGTATCCTCATCTACTAAACTACGCTTGTAAATGAGTGCTGTGTCTTAACATGCGAAGCAAATGTGAGGGCATGTCTGCCCTACACTAGACGTCTCTTGGATACAGCATGTCTTCGATTGTCATGGTCGAGAGTAGAGGTGGCGACGAACAACTGGTAGCATTCAAATATTTATTGGTCCTCACTGAATCAGAAGATGCGAGAAATTTGACGCGAACTTTTATTGGTATAGGCTATGGCTATATGCGGTACCATTTCCAGTCTGTTTACTCGAGTCTCCGTGTCGGTTGTAAAGACAGTTGGTGCAGTGGCTATATAAGGCTACTTACAGTCAAGTGACGTAAGCCGGGACGCTTGGAACATCGTTTTGTTGTAATATGGCCCAGCGGTAAGTGGGTCGAACGTGATAATCGACCACATCATCTTCTCCCTCATATCTTCAAGTCTGTCCAGGTCCGGGCCAAGGGCCCGCATGTAGAGCTCAGGTACGATATAATACGGCACCCATGGGATCATCCACTCCCCTCTTTGTGACGGGTCTAGTGCCTGCGCCGAGGCAGATGCTCTATGCGACAATAAACATGTGCGAGCCACAGCATGTTTCGGCTGGAGAAGCGGTTTATTACGCGAGGCTCAAGACCTCACAGATGTACTTATTCGAAATCTAACCAGAAGTTACTCGCACTGTCTCATAGATGAGGAGCTGGAGCCGGTGGGTCATGGCTGATTCGCGATATGTCGAGAACCCGTTCCGGACTACGAAGATCGTCCACCTCTCAGGCCTATGTTGGCCGATACGAGCGGGACGACCTATGTATCCATGCGAGGCGCGCCGGTGCATATTTAGGCCATGCCTTCCGAGACGGAAGCATGCCACTATGAAGCGGCATGCGGCGAGTTGAACCGGCGCAGAATAGCCGCCCTCTGCGATGCCGGGCGCGTCGCTTCAATGGTTTCTGAGCCGTAGTCGGATATTGACATCCAGGATTTGACTACCCTAAGAAGAAAGAGGAAAAGTTAGCGCATTGCATGACGGAATTTTCAAATATAGGGATAACCTACTCTAGCCTGTTGTAAGAGCTAGCTGTGGCCGGGGCACTCTCGGCAGAGAGGGAATCCGCTTCCCTCGCATCAAAATTGATTCGCTGGGCTAGGCGAAACCTGCTCAGCACGTCCCTTGGCAACGCTCTCTGCTGGGTAGAAATGGAAGCTACGTTCGTCTTGTCCCTACGTTCGGATTCCTCCTCGTCGTCGTCTTCCGGGCTTCCTTTCGAAATCTGGGGATGAGCTTGTTGGTAAGGGCAACCACCCGCTCTTCCCAATGATTTGGAAAATGGAGCTCTTCCGTCACGGCTGACACAGGCGGAATATCATCCGCAGGCCACTCCAAAGTCCCGTTGGGGAGTCTCAGAGGTGTTAGTAGGGTCCGGCGGAGTTGGATTTCTCGAAGCACCTCAGGAAGTAGGGTCTCAGACACCCGACTGTCCCAATGGCACATGGATCCGTACCTTTCGAGCAGACGCGGGTTTAGGAGCCACAACTTTGGCCAGTCGATGACCTGAGAGTTGCGGTAGTCTATGCTCTGGCCAATACTACATGGGCAATCGTAGCTAGGATATCGATCTCTGAACTCAGGGCTCGGTAAGTCCAAGAAGTCCTTGTCAGATGGGGAAATCGTCTCCTTTCCAAATCAGATGCAGATATCCAACGACATCTTTAACCTTATTTTGTAAAGGTGTCGCTGTGGCCGCGACAATACTTCGAGACGGCAGGTTCTGGATCAGTTTTGGTATGATATTCTTGAAATTCCGACAAATATATGCCTCGTCAATGAGAATTGTTGAAAAGAAGGTGGCCATGAAAGGTTCCCTGACAGTATATCGGGCCTTGCGAGCAACGAATTCACCCGAGCCCGTCGTAGGCTGCGGCTTTTGAGGTAACGAGCCCTCGCCGTCGTCATCGACATTCTCCTCCAATGGCTGCTTTGTGGTCATTATGCCCAAAGCCGTATTGTAGCTGAGAATAAATACTGATGTCCGGTTGTACACAGCCAGCTCTGCCTCGAATGCTTCTGGCGAGATTATGTGAGCTCGAAGGCTCTCAGGAAGGTTATCTGCCCTCTTCGACTTGCGCCGTACCAGCCTCACATCCAATAAGCCCTGGAAAAAATTAAGGCCTTCAGCTAGGACTTGTAGCTGAATGGATGGTGGGAAGAGTAATAATGGTGGCCTACTCGGCAGGCTCCCCCTCCAATCCTGAACGAGGGGAAGGTGAACGAGGAGAAAAAGAGTTATCGTCTTCCCTGAGCCGCAATCATTGGCAAGCAAAGCGAAATGTTGCGGCGAATTGATCTTTTCCCAAATAATTGTAGCATCTGTAACAAATCACGGTTAGTGTCTCCATTCTTGATCTAATCATTTGCGATAAAAAGGGAAAAAGAAAGGAAAGGGGGAGAAAGAAAGAAAAAAGGAAATCCTTCGCGTGACTTACCTAGGATTTGGTGGTAGTTTGTACGAATGTAGGCACATTGGGGTTGATTACCCTGTCTTCCCAATCCTCTTTCCCAAATGGCCGCATTGCCCGCCTGATATCGTCCCCGGTCGAGTATCTAGCGATGTTGGTGAGACAGTTAATCACGATGGTTTTTTCTCGTCTGGTTCGCTTGTTCTTCTTAACTCCCCGAGATCCATAGGCATGGATAACCATCTCAAGTTCAACTATGAACCCTTAAGCCTAGCCCCCACCTCCAGAGGTACGGTCAGCCATGTGCTTCTCAGTTTGGGCTTGATTATTCTTAATTTCAGATCGGAACCAGTCTCTGAATTCGGGGAATAGCATCGCTGATTCGCGCGATATGTCGAGAACCCGTTCCATACTGCCAAGATCGTCCACCTCTCAGGCCTATGTCGGCCGATACGAGCTGGACGACCTCTCCCCTGCTGAACAACACTGCAATTAGAAGGCAGCGTTAATACGTATCCGTGTGAGGCATGCTGGTGCATATTTAGATCTTGTCTTCCAAGACGAAAGCATGCCACTATGAAGTGGCATGCGGGGAGTTAAACCGGCGCAGAATAGCCACCCTCCGCGATGCTGAGTGCGCGCGTCGCTTCAATTGTTTCTGAGTTGTCATCGGATATGGACATCCAGGATTTGACTGCTCTAAGAGGAAATAAGGAAAGTTAGCACATTGCGTGACGGAATTTTCGAATATAGGAATAACCTACTCTAGTCTGTTAAGAGTCAGCTGTGGCAGAAACGTACATAAGGGGACTCACCACGGCTGTTACGCAGCCGCAGCTCTTGAGACATCTTTTAGCAGTCATTTTATGCAGCCGTAAGTGGGTTAACCCTGATCTGGTCAGGGGCGGCGACTGATACAGCAGCCGCGGCCGGGGCGCTGTCGGCAGAGAGGGGATCCGCTTCCCTCGCATCAAAATTGATTCGTTGGGCTAGACGAAACCTGCTCAGCACGTCTCTCGGCACCGTTCTCTGCTGGTACGTTTAGTTGGTGCTCGAGGTGGAAGTGGGGAATACTTCGTCTTGTTGCCGCTTTCGGATTCCTCGTCGTCGTTGCCGCCTTCTGGGCAGAATTTTCTAAATCATGGGATGGGCTTGTTGGTGAGGACAACCGCTCGCTCTTTCCACTGATTAGGAAATGGAGCTCTTTCGCTAGGACTGACACTGGCGGAATGTCATCCGCATACCAAAGCCGTGTTGGGCACTCTCGGGGGCTGCAACCAAGGCCCAGCGAAGTCGGACCTCCCGAGACACCTCAGGAAGTAGGATCTTAGATATCCTGCTATCCCAGCGGCACATGGACCCGTAACTTTCAAGCAAAAGGGGCTCAGGAGCCACAACTTCGGCTAGTCGATGACCGGAGAGTTGCGGCAGCTATGTAGGCAATTGTAGCTTGGATATCACCTAGCAGCGTTCAGGGAGAATGATTCGTGATTGTAGACAGCTGGGTATAGTGGCTGTATAAGACTGCTTCCAGTCAAGTGACGCTGGCCGCGACACTTGGAGCATCTTTTTCTGTCATTCGGCTCAGCCGTAAGGGGGCCGAACACGGCCGTGATGGTCATTGGTATGCCTGAAGAGGTAACTGATGATCACAACTGGTGGTGATGTGGGTAGAGTCCAGCTCCAATGGGTTGTGATGATGTTTATATAATGTCCGTCCGAGACGAGATTCTCGAGTTTGACCCGAAAGTGGAAGATGCGATGCGATGTCTGCGATTCCCAAAGGAGAAGGAGCTTGTCGAGCTATATGTTCTTTGGCGCTTGGCGCTTTACGGAGTCCAATATCGAGTTGCATTGGGAAGGGGATATCGGCTTGGCCCTCAGCCTATAGTTTGCCGTTGCATTTGAATTGTACGAGGCGATGGGTAGTTCCTTCCTCAGAAAGCCGCAGAATTCTTCCCGTCGCCCTCGCACTTGCCCTGTTTACCATCCACAGGTGATCCTCGCTGTCCATGCTATCAATCCACCTGCAACTCTTTCCGCAAACCCTTGGTTTCATTTAACTTCATATATGCCTCATCTATTGCCTCTCACATCCGGAAAGGAACTCGGGAGTGAATCCAAGTGATCGAGGTCAGTTGCGTTCCAGGCAACCAAACCACACCTTCCCTCCTTGATCATCGAATATTGTCACTTCTCTTTGCTTTTCCGTTTTTCTACTAAATCAGAAGCCACAGGCGTTTTCGGGCCCTCAGAGTCCGGAAACAACACGCCGTCTCCGACTCCATCGGACATGAGAGGCCAGCCTCTCGTGGGAGATGTACGAAAAATGATCGGGCCTGGATGCCTACTGTACACTAGATATGGGCAGTCCTCATTATCAGCCAGGATGCGAAGAATAAGCGCTTTCTTTCCACCCGCCTTCGTCAACAGCATCTATAAGAAATAAGTGGTACGATATGATTGCTCTGCTCAACCCTAGCTGCAGGGACAATCCAGCCTGAAGATTCAATGTAGATGTATGGTAATATCGATTACCTCGAGGACACAATTTGGTGAAAAGGTCTGCCGAATGACGTTGGTCCCCTCAAGTTCGTCAATCCTAGGTCTTACCAAGGACTAACTAGACATTCCACGGAAACAGGCACACGGTGGAGGTTAAGGATTCTCATCTCGATTAGTCCGATCTAGCGATGTTGTTAGCCCATGGGCAACTTCAGTCTAATGAGATTCTATTGGTCAAGGAATATATGTCAAAGAAAGAAAATGGGTAATGATTGTTGGAGACAATGATCAGTTAATAGTTTACGTGAAGACTTTTGGTATTGATAGTATGTATTTTCTTCTCTAGAATAAGTCAGCTCTGCAGGTATAGAAGGTGATAGCCAGTTGAGGAAGAAGATTAATGTATTTACATGGATTCCTGCTTAAGAAGGCATATGTAAAATCTTTGTTGGTGTTTGCTGCATAGGGAAGGAGTACACCACCCATTATTCTTCCTTTGCATTTTCTCCTCCACCTTTAAAAATCACCTATTCAGATCTTCCATCTTTTCATTCTCTTGTGTTTGTGACTTATCCCAGTGGAGGAAGGAGCAGCTAAACATCTACCAGCACAACTATTTAGTTTTCTCTAGGAATTCGATTCCTACTTGCAAACCTTCTCTTTATTAACAGACCATTGACCCCAGTTCTACACCTTGTACTCTCACACTCATCATCTTAATTTTGGTTTCGCATCTCTACTGTCTCTCTACATATGGAAAATGGGGATCCTGAAGTTTACTCTACCCCCACGACATAGCTTCTATGCTATCTGTGTTCGCCCTTCTCCTGTTGGTCTCCTTGTTCGTCGTGCCCAGTCTCTCCTCTCTGGCCACACTCGATACCAATCCTCTTCACATAATCAAGGTATGCTCTTATAATAGTTTATATTTTGTTAAGTTTTTTTCCTTTCCAATTTACATTTTTTCATATCTAACTAAGTTGTCTATTCCTCTACAGTAAACCACAAGAGGCGTCAACACCGGCTCGCCAAAAATATTGATCGCCAGTTTGAGAGGCTAGACAGTCAGCCTGCTGGCCGACTTGAAAAATATGGTCGACAATTTGAAAAAGGCGATTGCGAATTTAAGGAGCGTGACCGCAAGTTTAGAGAGCTTAAAGAAGAGTTCACCAAGTTTAGTATAGAGATCCGGAAAAGCTCCTGTGATCTTGGATCGAAACTCGAAACTTCCCTATCACAATTCTTTACCCGGGTAGCTCTTGTATGTCCACCCCAATCTTTCTTATTCAATAGCTAATATGATATTACTAGATTGCCGCGGTTGTCTTTATTTCCAGCATTATGATTGCTTTCCAAGTCAAATTGTGGCTACAATCCGAAACCCTGAAGATACAAGCTCGAACCGAGAAGTACATAGCCAATGGTACATCTGGGGCCATAAAGGAGGGTTAAGAGGACAAGCGAGCGGCTTTGCATGTACGAGTAGGGAGGGGTCCAAGACTTCGGTTCTGCGACGGCAAGGCAAGCGTGAGTCGTGGCCAGTTATTGGGAAGTGACATCAATTAACCACAGTCAAATTCCAGACAGGACAAGAATATTAGAGATAGAAAATGGAAATCTTGGGATTCGCCACAAATCCAGCTTGCAGCCTGCCAATGTAACTGTAATATACTCAAAGGACATATTGAAATCTGTAGCTACAAGGTCTTCTGAGAATAGATGCTCTTTCGCTATGCAGGGCTCATAAGAGTCTATCTCAACGCTTTTCCCATCCGAGATGCGTCTTTTTTTAAAGACAGTTGGTGCAGTAGTCATATGAGGCTACTTACAGTCAAGTGACGCTGGCCGTAACACTTGGAGCGCATTCATCTTTTTGTTGTCATATAGCTCAGCTGTAAGTGAGCCAAACCTGACGCTTTTGAACTTGCACAACAGGGAAGATTCGTCAACCTTCCTCTGAGCTTAGATTTTCCCTGACAATTTCAAGTATGCATACTGTTAACGCCAGTGCTGTCAGCCAGCCATG